GGGGGTGGTTTGGGTGAGGCTGGGAAGCCCGAGAGAGAGGGAGGTGAGGACAGTGTCCTCAAGGAGAGATCAGGCCAGGGAGACCCGTACCGTGTGCCCGCTGTTCTCTAGGATGGGGAAGATTTGGACGGATGGAGGAAAGGATGAGGTGATTGCAACTCAACTGTAAAAAGACAAATATCCCGATTTGAAAATGAGCCCAGGATTTGAATGCACATTTCCTCAAGGATCATACACAACGGCCAACAAGCCCATGAAAAGATGCTCAACATCCTCAAGTCATTAGGGAAGTGCAAGTCCAAACCACAATGAGATACTTGATAGAATGGCTATCATCTAAAAGACGGACAGTAGCGAGTGCTGGTGAGGGCGGGGACAAAGAGGAGACTTCACGCAGGGCTGGTGGGAATGTCAAACGGTGCGGCCCTGGGGAAACCAGCCTGGTCGTTCCTCAAAAGTTTAAACACAGAGTTACCATATTCCACTGCTGGACTTAGCCCAAGAGAAATGAAAACATATTCCACACAAAACCTTGTACACAAGTGTTCAGAGCAGTATTATTTAGAAAAGTCAAAAATGGAAACAACCCATATGTCCATCAACTGAATGGTAAGCAACATGTGGTATGTCCATACAATGGAATGTTACTTAGCCATGAAAAAGTAATGAAGTACTGATTTATATTGCAACATGGATCAACTTTGAAAACCTGATTCGAAGTAAAAGAAGCCAGGCACTAAAGAACACATATTATATGGTTGCATTTATATGAAATGTCCAGAATAAACCAATTCATAGAAATAGATAGTGGGTTAGTGGTTGCCAGGGGCTGGAGGGAGCGGGAAATGGGGAGTGACTGCTAATGGGTACAGGGTTTCTTGTTGGGGTGATGATAATGTTCTGGAACTGGATAGTGGTTGCACAACCTTGCGACTATACTAAAAACCACTGAGTCCTGGCCGGGTAGCTCAGGTGGTTAGAGCATCGTCCTGATACACCAAGGTTGTGGTTTGATTCTCAGGCAGGGCACATACGAGAGTCAATCAATGAATGCGTCAGTAGGTGGAACAACAAATCGATGTTCCTCTCTCTCTCATTCTCTCTTCCTCCCTTCTTCTCTCTCTAAAAATCAATAAATAAATGTTTTTAAAAACACTGAGTTACACACTTTAAGATGGTGAATTTTATGGTACATCAGTTATATCTAATAAAATTACTATAAAAATATGAATTATATCTCAGTACAAAAAAAAGTCTGTAAAGAAGGATAAGGTGAGCCCCCCTGCCAGAGAAACCATGGATGGTCTCCCCAGATCCTCCACCTCCCAGGCCTGAGACGGGCTGTGAACTGAGGGGCAGAGCTAGGTTTCATGTTGCAGACAAAAGGATTTTGAGAGTCAGTGCAGAGGGTGGGGAAAGGAGAGAAGGAAGGGGCTCTGTCCCATGTGCCTCCATAGAGGGCTGATAGAAGACAGTTAAGTTTCACAAGTGGTATATGAAATAATCCACTACCACCACTACCCCCCACCCCAGTAAAAAGAACTTTAGTAAAACTGACATTACCCACCAATGTTTTGGAGGTGGATTTGTGGCCTGGAGGTGATGAAGGGAGTAGTGAGTCTGAACTTGAAGTGGATGTGGCATGAAAGGAGTGACATCCAGGTTACACAGGGAACACAGGGTCTCTGCCCCTAAGCTGCCGGTGGCCTAGTTGGGAAGACCCAACCCAAACATGTACAAAAGTGGAAGACAATGAATGAAACAACAGTTCAGACCAGCATCAGAAGAACTACCTCAGGCAGAAGGTGATTCACTGTCCCAGGAATTGGCTAGACTATAATTGCAAGAGCAACTTAAAAGAGGAAGAAATCCTCAGCCTGAAGCAATCAGGGAAAGCTTCACTGAGAAGGTGGATTCTAGCAGGGCTCAACATGATGTGAGAGGAAGAGTCTGGGAGAGGACTGTGCCCATCTGACCCAGTGGGACCTTCCAGGAACTTGGATGTGCTGACACAGGACAGTTCCCAGGAGCCTGAACTGTCCTGCAGGAAACGCTGAGTATATGGTCTGATGCCTCGGAGAGACCTTCCTCCTAGAGCAGACAGGTGGCCCTTTATTCACAGAGTCTCTGGTTTCACACCATCCCACATTTTCTCTCCTAGGACCATACTCGGGTGGTGAGCCCCATCATCGATGTCATCAGTCTGGATAATTTTGCTTACCTTGCTGCATCTGCTGACCTTCGTGGAGGTGGGTCCTACTGCCAAGGGAGGGGCTCTAGACCAGAGAAGAGACAGGTGAGGGCAGGCCACAGCCCCAGTTTGGTGCTTATCTTTCCAGCTGTGCCAGAGGGTGTCATGACACCCTTACTTCCAGAAAATGAAAAGGGATTATATACATTTGTATACAATATATTGTACCCATTTGTATACAAATGTGTATACATTTTTGGGGGGACACCCTGTATTTCTTTTGGACAGCTCTGGTCTAGACTTTAGAGCTGTACTGTCCAATACAGTAGACAAAAGCCACATTTGGCTATTTAAATTTAAATTAATTAAAATTTAAAATTCAGTTTTCTAGTTCCATGTCACATTTTAAGTGCTTCTTATCTACACATGGCTGGTGCCTACCACATTGGACAATGCAGGTATAAAACATGTTCATCATTGCAGCAAGTGCTATTCAACAGGCTGCTCTAGAGAATTTATTGCTGGGAGCTAGTGGGCAGATGGATTTATTTGGGGTCTGGACTTCCAATGAATGGATAAAAGCATTAATTAGATCTTCAGATTGAGTGGGATTCTGAGGGAGCCAGGTACTTCTCCTTTGGAAAGTCACCTCAGGGCCTTTGCACTTACTGCCTGAAATTCCCTTTCCCCAGATATCTCCATGGATCAGTCCTTCATTCAGGTCTCTATTCAAATACCACTTCATCAGAGAGCAATTTCTGACTGCTCTTACTAGAATAGCATGGGTGCCTCCCCTTTATTTTATTTTTTTAGCACTTTTCACCCCTGACTGACATATTGTCCATTCATTGATTTATCTTGTAGTCTCCATTTCACCCAGTAGATTGGAACTCTACAGGGACAGAGACCTGTCTCATTCTGAATGAAGGGATGACTGCACAAATTGTCCAGGGCCCTCTGTGAACTGGGCTTGGATCAAGGGAGATTCTGAGGGGTGGCAGAGTGAGGGGGCAACAGCCACCAATGGGCTTTGCCCTGAGCCCTGTCCTCACCTTACTCTGTCCTCAGGATTCGACTGGAGCCTACATTTCAAGTGGGAGCAGATCCCTCTTGAGCAGAAGATTGCCCGGACAGACCCCACCAAGCCTATAAGGTCAGGGCTACTGTGATCTCCAGAGAGACCCCTTCTTTCCCTGGGTCAGCGGCCTGGGAGGCTTCTAGGGAGCTGTTTCAGTCACCAGGGCTTCTGACGATGTACAGTCTAAGTGCTAACTCTGTTCTGGGCCCCAGGGACAGAGGACATAGGACAGGGAGCTGGCCAGACATCCTGCCCCAGGGACTCTGCAAGCAGGGGATTCTGGGGCAAATGGCCTGGGGTCCTGGGGCCATGTGGAGGGGCTTCCATCTTCTTAAGCTCACATGTTACCTCTCTCCCCTCCTTGCTCCCAGGACGCCTGTCATAGCTGGAGGAATCTTTGTGATTGACAAGTCCTGGTTTAACCACTTGGGAAAGTATGATGCCCAGATGGACATCTGGGGGGGAGAGAATTTTGGTAAGTTGGGAAATATAACAATAGCAACAACAACAATATTAATAATGAGTCAATATGATTGAGCACTTTCTATGGGTAAGGCCCTGTTCTAAGGACTTAATCCTCATGATGACCCTCTGAGGTAAGTACTGTTATCTCCATTTTACTGATAGACACTGTGGCACAGAGAGGTTAAGTAGTTTGTCCAGAGCCACACAGCTAGTAAACAAAAAGAATTAGGTGGTTGGGGAGCCTGTGGCCACATGACTAGACAAATATATGGAAGAACATACAGGCTGTATCATGGACCACAGCTCACATACCTGGTTACTTCCCTACCAGAAAGTCTGGGAGNCTGTGGCCACATGACTAGACAAATATATGGAAGAACATACAGGCTGTATCATGGACCACAGCTCACATACCTGGTTACTTCCCTACCAGAAAGTCTGTGTTCAGTAGAGGGTACTGGTTAAGTAAGCCTGGAAGCAGATCCTGGCCATCTGATCCCACTGCTTACATTTAACCAGTACTACCCTGGGTTACTGGTTACTGGGTGAAAATCCTATCACCTATAAGCTGTTCAGCCCTGGGCAAGTTAAAGCCTCCCTAAGCCTCAGTTTCCTCAAGGAGCTGTTATGAGTACTAAGTGAGACGATGGGTTAAAATCATGGCACCCTGGCCAGTGTGGCTTGTTGGTTGAGCTCTCTCCCATGCATGGAGAGGTCATTGGTTCGATTCCTGGTCAGGGCACATGCTGGGGTTGCGGGCTCGATCCCCAGTAGGGGGCATGCAGGAGGCAGCTGACCAATGTCTCTCTCTCTCTCTCTCTCTCTGCCCCCATTTCCAATCTCTAAAATCAATAAAAACATTTAAAATAAATAAAACACATGGCACAGTGTTAGTGGTCATTATCATTACTTCTGAGGCTATAGGAACTCTTTAACCCCAAAAGGAACGGGAAGAGCCAGTGAATTCCCAGGGTTGCTGGTGAGGTTCAGGTTAGACAAAGGCCAGATACAGGTGGGATACCCAACGTGGGNTGCTGGTGAGGTTCAGGTTAGACAAAGGCCAGATACAGGTGGGATACCCAGCGTGGGTAATTTTTTTTAATTGATTTCAGAGAGAGGAAGGGAGAGGGAGAGAGAGAGAGAGAGAGAAAGAAAATCAATGATTAGAGAGTCATTGATTGGCTGCCTTCTGCTCGCCCCGTACTGGGTATCGATCCCGCAACCTGGACATGTGCTTTAACTGGGGAATAGAACCGAGATCTCCTGGATCATAGGTCAATGTTCAACTGCTGAGCCACACCAGCTGGGCCCAATGTGGGTAATGTAAGGGGGTTTATTAAAGGGCCTTTTTACACAGTGTGGGCAAGATAGAGAGAACCACAGGATCAGCTTAGTATTGGGCAAGGCTTTTGCCTGCTAGGAGATGTCACCACCCCCAGGTCTGAAAGATGGGGAGGAAGCCCACCTGACAGGAGCTGTGGCCTTGAGGCACCTGCAGCCAGCCCACAGCTCCCAGGTGGAGGGTGTCAGAGGGGAAAACATCCACCCTCATCTCCCCCCCTGATCTGCCAGTGCCTCTGCTGGCTGAACCTGTCCCCTGCAGATAGGAAGCCCAGGGGTACAGCCTTACACAAGTAGCCTCCCAGACTCGGAGCTGGTGGAGAAGGGTGCTGAGGGATCCAGAAGCGGGGCAGGTACTTTGAGGCCTGTGAAGACAGAGGTTTGTCCTTGCTCTTGCAGTGGACCTGGTCATTTGCCAAGCTCTTTCCCCCTGCTTCCTTTTTCATCCTACCCAGGTTTCTTTCGAAGTGAATAGGGCTGGTGGTATGTCACCTGTTTGACAGGTGGGAAAACTGAGGTGGGCCCTGCCTTCCAGATTTCATTCAGAAAACTCCATGTCTGATGGGTGTATGGCATCCCTCGACCAGAGCCTACTAAGTGTTGGAAGGTGTGATCAAAGTCAAATTCTGTGTTTCTGAGACGTGGGGGGCAGGTCTTTCTTCTCTCTCTCTGATCAGGACACAGATGAACAGTCAGGGCTTAAAATAGTCCTGATCCCTGCCTGGCTGGTGTGGCTCAGTGGTTGAGCATCACCCTATGATCCAGAAGATCGCTGTTCGATTCCCAGTCAGGGCACATCCCTGGGTTGCGGGCTCCATCCCTAGTGGGGAGCGTGCAGGAGGCAGCCAACCAATGACTCTCTCATCATTGATGTTTCTGTCTCTCTCTCCCTTCTCCCTTCCTCCCTCTGAAATCAATAAAATATATATTTTTTTAAAAACAAACAGTCCTGATCCCAACCCAAAACCAGGGGAGTGGAAACAGGCATGAGGTTTGCTCCCCTTTGGAACTTATTCCTGGAACTGATTCTAGGCAGGCATCTGGAGGAGTAAATTTGGGAACTGAGATGTGGTGGCCCTTGCATTCTGACCTCCTTTCACGTGTTTAAGCCTGAGCGACTTCCTTTGTGTCCTTGCTCTCAGCCTGAGGGAGCTTCGGCAAAGCCAGTTTTCTGTAAAGACTTAGAGGACTGGAAACAAGCTGTCGCTCCTGCCTCCAGAAGCTCTTTTTCTCTTCTCTTCTCTTCTCTTCTCTTCTCTTCTCTTCTCTTCTCTTCTCTTCTCTTCTCTTCTCTTCATCTCATCTCATCTCATCTCATCTCATCTCATCTCATCTCATCTCATCTCATCTCATCTCTTCGCTGGGGACTGACAGAGAAACGAGGGAATGATCAAATAGCTAACTTCAAACTCTGCCTGAGGCAAGGGCTCAGTGGTTGGGGAACTTGAAAGGTGAACCTGGAGTGGGTCTGGAGACTGTTTTGTTTCTTAGAAGAAATTCAAAGAAGTTTCTAGGCTAGTCATAGTTTTGAGCTGGGAGACTCCTGCCGCTGGTAGGTTTGGGCCTTTCATTTTGTTTCTTTGTTGAAGAAAGGGAGATACGAGAACAGAGACTCGTTCCTGTGTCCTTTGGGAGAACCAAACTCGGTAGCCAGAGGCTGCCTTGAGTGGGGGTGGCACATGTGAACACCTTGGAGGTCACATTTGGGATCCTTTCAAAATCACGACATTCAACTGCTCAAGACCCTGCAGGGCTCCTGAGCAAAACCCAAAGCACTCAGAGCAAAACCCAAAGTCCTGACGTCTGCCTGTCCCCGGCAAGCACACACCATCGGCTCTGCCCAACCTCACTCTGCTCTGGCCGCCTGGCCTCCTTGCTGAGCCTCGATCTTGCCAGCCAAGCTCTTACCCCTAGATCTTTGCCCTTGCTTATCCCTCTGCCGGAATGCTCTTCCCCTGAGAGCCACCCGACTCGGGTCCTCACCTCCTTCCAGCTTTAGTTCAAATGTCCCCTTTTAGGGACAGCTTTCCTACTCAGCCTAATTAAAATGGTAGCTCTCGCCTGGCCGGGCGTGGCTCAGCGGTTGAGCATGGACCTAGGATCCAGGCGATTGGGGTTCAATTCCCGGTCAGGGCACATGCCCGGGTTGTGGGCTGCAGCCGATCAATGACTCTCTCATCATTGATGTTTCTATCTCTCTCTCTCCCTCTCCTTTCCTCTCTCTGAAATCAATAAAGATACATTTAAAAAAAAAAAAATGGTAGCCCTCCACCCCGATTCCACTCGCCCCCTTCCATCCCCTACTGGCTTCCTTTTTCTCCATTGTACTGATAGGCTATGTATTCTACTCACTTTCTTGTCTACCTGTATTTTTGTTTCTTATTTTACCGAGTTCCTGCCTCACCCCACTAGCATGTGAGGGATCCCAGAACAGTGTGTGACATACAGTAAAAAAATTTCTGAATTAACTAAAGAATCTTGTTCAAGCATGCAGCTTGCTGGACAAGTGTGAACTTTATGTTGTGATTCTGCAACTGAGCATTTGGGTGACCTTGGAGAGATTTTTTAACATCTTTGATCTCTACAGTTCTTATTCAAAAATATGGGGATAATAATACTGACTTCACATGGTTACCGTGAGAATTAGACATCAGATATAAAGAGGATGGCACATAGTAAGTGCTCAATAAATGGATGGTGATTACTGCTATTGTTATTGCTATTGTTGATAATAATGACAATGATTAATAATAGCATGGGCAATATGGGCTGAGTGGGATGAGATGTCAACTAGCATAACAAAGTTAGTCTGGCAGAAATGGAACCAGAAGGCAGATCTTTTGTCCCTAGTTTCAAATCTCCGTTCTGAGCCTGCTGCAGAGCTCTGACTGGAAGAAGGGGCAGAGGCCTGCCTGTTTGCAGTCAGACCCAGGGAAGCCCAGTAACATAGCCAACCCTGTGTAGGGGTCCGGATATGCCAACTGTCCAGTCCTGGCCCCTGAACCATATCTGGAAGTCTCCTAGTGCACACAGGCTGGCCAGAAGGTAGGCACTAGTCCTGCTGCCTTCACTCCCCCCTTTGCTGGTCACTGGGAGACCCTGACCCACTGCACTGTGTAAGAAAAGAGACCAAGGGACCGAGAGAACAAATGACAAAATGGTCCTGCTTTTTAAAGTTAAAGCAGAAAACAAAAAACAAGGCTTATGGATTTTCTGGGACAGGAAGGAGGTGTTTTAACATCACAGGGTGTCCAACTGTGGAGCTAATATGAAGGAAAGTAGGAAACCAGAAGAGATTATGTGAGGTTCAGCCAGTTGCCAAGGCGGGTCTTGCCAGAAGTGACCATTGCTGAGTGGAGGACAGAGTGGGTAACTTGCGACGTCCCTCCCTTTCTGAGAAATGGAATGGCCACTTCTTTCATCTCCCAACCTACTGAGAACCACAGTCATCTGCCAAAGCTTGCTCAGCGTCACCACCACATCAGAAGGAAGAGGGCCAGCGGCAGCCTGTAAATGGAAACCCCGGCACAGGCGGAGGTCGAGCAGATGTGTCCTTCCTTAGCTCATGTCTGGAGGGGGCGTTCTAGACAGAGGCTGGAAATTAGGCTGCCATCTGATTCAGCTTTCCTTCTACTCATGGTCTTGGTGTTCCTTCAAAGCTTTCCCAGCGCTCTCCCAGAGCTCAGTGTGTGTGTGTGTGTGTGTGTGTGTG